ACAGGTGACGTCCCGTAAAATATTCTGGATTCAAACAAAACTCAATTATATTCTAGTGTTAGAACTTATCCAGTATAACATATTGGAGGAAAAGCTTACACACACGTGATGTCCCGTAAAATATACTGGATTCAAACAAAACTCAATTATATTATAACATAATATCTACATTAACGAAACATACTTCAAGTGAATTATAATGCTTTTTTTATGAGATTTCCAGTATAATAAGCTGGAAAAATCTTCGCTTTAGATATTAATTTAGAAACGTGCAACAAATTATACTGGCGCTATGTTCTACATTGAGAAAATTAGACAATAACACATATTAAAGCATTAAAAACAAATCAAAAATTCGAAAAATTAAATTTTTTTACTGATACTTTGAATTTTATGGTTTGAATTCTTGATCGTAGAAGAAATTTAAATAATTAGACAAATTTTAGATAGAGCTTACTTTGATTTGCAGATTGACGACGGAAATTTTGCTAAAACTTCGATTTGCAGATTGACGCAGAACGATTTTGCTAACACTTTGATTTGCAAATTAACGCCGGAAGATTTTGCGAATACCTCGATTAACGCCGAAATATTTTCCTAATATTTCGATTTACAGATTGACGGCGAAAATTTTCCTAATAACTCGATTTGAAAATTAATGCCGGAAGATTTTGTTAAGTTTTGTTAAAAGAAGAATTTAAGGTGAAGTCGCGTAAATTAATAAAAAAAGCAGGGGTATTTTAGTCAACAAAATGTTACCGCACTAAATTAGTGGCTAAATTTCGTTGACCGGTGATTATGTGGCTACATTTGATTGACCAGGCGAAAAACTGGCCATTTTTGGATTTTTCGCGAAAATTTTATTTTGTGCCTCACACAATTGACACTAGTTGTGTGAGGCCTCTTTTTTATCTTACAGCTGTGTGGGTCCCAGAATTTTATGGACCCATATGTGTAAGATATGGATACGCAAATATGTGAGATAAAAAGAGGCCTCACTCAACTAGTGTCAGTTGTGTGAGACAAAAATAAAATTAATCCATCACTATGATGGAGGAGTTAGGCACGACTTCAATCTGTATATAATAAAAATTATAATTATACAGAAAAAGACATAAACCTTAGCCTCATTAGTATAGTATAGATTAGTGTAAGCCAATCTAATGTACCTATGTTCAAAAGAGCTAAACTTGCTACTTTGACTTCGTAGTAAGAGGTGATTTGGTTATTGTACGATACTAATTTCCATATTAAATTATTTATTCATTGTTTTGTTATTGATATTAGTTATATTAAGATTAATTTTATACCAAACTATTGATATTATCTCATATGGGTGATGAGAAATTCTAGAATTCTATTACCCTGGAATGATCTTATTTTAAACCAGACGAACCTTAATAGTTCTCCCTATGATATGTTTAGAGCCTGTATGGAAAGCCACCTAGGAATTGGATTTGAATATAATTGGGTGTAATTACACAGTTTGCCATATTTGTTTGACCAAGTAATTACTCGGTCAGCATGGAATTGGGTGTCCAATTCTCAAGGAGAGGTGAGAATTGGTGGTAATTACATTGTGTAATTACAAGGTTGCCTTTTAGTTTCTTGCCTTTTTGTTTTTATTTTAATTTATTTTCTTTATAATTTTTTATTTCTATTATTTTACTTTTTAAATTTTATTTTTACTTTTTAATTTCTTTTGAAATTTTAAATTATTTTTTTGTACATTATTTATCTTTTATTTTTCTACCTTTACTTCTTGTGATTTCGTGTAATTGCTTTTATTTTATTTTTTATTTATTTTATTATTTTATTTTTTGAAACTACACCTTCTAATATTAGAAATTATGAGTCACTAACAAACTTGGTATATAATGAGTGATGCAATTAAAGTAAAATTTCGTTATTAAGTGTTTTTATAAACTTATTGTGTTTCCTAATCTTAAGTTGTAGTGGAACTTACTATTAATAAGGTTGAATTTTACATATGTTAAACTTTTTTTTTTTTTTTTTGGATTTTGAAATTATGTTATTTCATGGTGCCAATTTACTTGTTTTAGTAGTATTGGCTCACATTGCATGTTGTTCATTTTAGTTATGATAGATTAATTTTGACAAACATTTGAATAATGTTATGACATTATATTTATAAATATTAATTTATTTTATCAAACATGAATTCTATGATGTTCTTACAAAATATATGTTTTTAGTTTTTGTAAGTATCTAAACTAAATTGTAGTAATTTGGAATATGTATAAACTATTTTTACAATATTAGTATAAATATATGATACTAACTAATTAATGTATATTCACGAAAAAAATATATGTCTTAAATACTAAATACAATATCATTTATACTTATAAAAAATTATAGGCATATATTTATTATATTAACTTTTAAATTTTGATAATTACTTCATTTAAAATTTAATTATGTAATTACACTTATGCAACCAAACATTAAACTTGTAATTACACTGTATTTACACTATGACAAACAAATATATCGTCGTAATTACACAATTGTGTAATTACCAGGCTGTGTAATTACTACCTAATAATTACACCAATTTCAATTACCTGGTGGCTTTCCAAACAGACCCTTACTGCACCTACTTTGAGCTCACTTTGTTAGTCTTAAATGCGGATAAAGGAAAAAGGTTAACAACTTAGGTAAAATTAGTCAATTTAAGAGGTAATTAAATGAAACCATGTGGATAGTAAAAATTTTAGTTGACTTGCTTTGAATTGATGAATAGTTATTGTTTGGCATATTAATTTTTTTATAATTTAAAAAATTTGAATTGATGAATAGTTATTGTTTGGCATATTAATTTTTTTATAATTTAAAAAAATAAATTTACATATTTAAAAATTACATAAAAAAACAATAAAATATTTACCAAATAATGTCGTCAAATTTGTTTAACTTCAAGAATGGTACTAATAATGTAATATAGTTTACATTATTAGTCTAGAATTCTGTTGTCAACTTCAAAAATTTACATAAAAATCTCTAATTAAAAAATTCTTTTTTCGATGTGAAATAATTTCGAATTGCATAAACGGTTTGCTGTAAACAAGCTTTCATAGCAATCGGAGAACTTAAACGTATGTTTTTGTACATGACGTTCCTGATCAGATATATTAAATTCCCTTGCGAGTTAATTTCTTTCTTTTCAGTTCATTCTTCTAATTGTTAGGTAATTCACTACAAAAACATAGATTTTTTACGGCAGTTAAATTATGGTGGTTCTTGTTAAAATTGATACATATTCTTTTGAATTATTTAAACTAACGGCGCATATAACGGCGATTTTAAACCGCGCTACTATATCTAATTAAAACACCCGATTAGAGACCCGCAGGCCTCCATAATTTCTGTCTCTCTGCTCACTTCTCTCTCTATCTCTCTACTCCCCCAATCTTAAACTGGCTCGATACGTCTCTCGCCTCTCTACTCTCACTAGTTAGACTGTAAATTCGTCCAAGTTTTGGGTTTCCTCGGTTAACTGGTAATTCTCGCTCCCCCAATTGTTGCTAGGGTTCAGAATTTGGTTAAAATTTAAACCATTCCCTAAAATATTGATAATTCTGTTTCTTAGGTTTCAAATCGACAGTGAGAAATCGTTGCTAGAGTCAAATATTTTCTTTTCTATGTGGTAGGGTTCATGCCTGTTTGGGAGTGTAGTGATTTTCTCCAATTTTTGTTCTAATTGTTTCATATCTTTAATTCTCGAATCTATTTTTTGTTATTTTTCTTTTCAGTTGGTTTGATGTTTGTTTTAATTTTTGCTATTTTGTTTGGTATTGGATTGTACTCATATTGCGTGTACACAATTTTGATATTTTTTTCGGTTGTTGTTTGATGCTTCTGATTTTGTAAACTAAGTGTTTAAACTTTTCTGAAACTCTATATTCCCAGATATATTCTCTCTTATTGAAGTTTCCACAGATTGAAATGCAGCCTTTTATTTCTTTATTTTTGACTCGTTTTGTTTCATAGAACTATTTTTCACTTTATTATGGGAATTTCCTTATGTTTTAGAAAAACTCTCATACTGAAATGACCTGTTAAAAATTGAATTTAATGCTGAAGATGAGATAAGAACAAAAAAATAAAAATAACTGAAGTATGTTTGTGTTTTCCAAAAGGAGTATTTTTTGACCTATGTGTGTATTGTTGTATTAGAATTGTTATATTATTCCGGGCTAATATTCACCTAATACTGTTATATTGGTTTGGTAGGTAGCCGAGGGATCAAATACAGCTGCTGAAGAAGGTAAAGGGATTGACGTTAATCGTAAACCATTTGATAGGTATAGCTAATTTTTTTTAAGGCAGATTAATTCTATTTTAGTGTTAAGATACCTTTTATCAGTATAGCTTTCTCACTAAATATTAGATTCTTGTTTCTTTTTTGTATAATCATATTATTCTTACATATAAAATAGCTTACATGTATTTTCACTTACTAGAACTAAGTTGAAGATATAGAAAACTTTTAGATGGTAGTTCTAGCATTCTGTAATTTTAGAAAACTTGGGGGACCACAGCGGTGGCAAGGGTAGAAAGGATAAAATTTTCCACTTCCCGGTCACATCACACTCTCAGTGAGTAACCGGAAAGTGGGGGACTCTGTATACGGTAAAAACCGGCCTCAAGAGATGAATTAGGAAGCGACACGTGTCAAGAATGACCAGTAAGTGATGACTCAACCATGGTGGCACCGAATACAAACCTGTGGCCGAATAAGAAGCAATTCAAGATGTGACCGTTACAGATGACCCCAAGATTCCTTCGGCCTTTATTAGCCTTTATTACCCTTTATTATTATTTATCACCTTTTAATTACTCCCTCCGGTACACAATGAGTGACCAATTTGTCTTTTTATTTTGGTTCAAAATAAGTGTCCATTTATATAATCAATAAAAAATTTAATTTGTATTTCCAAAATTACCCTTATGTACGTATCCCTAAAATGTCTTTTACTCCTTACATTAAATCATGCTGCAACATTTAATTAAGGGTAGTTTAGTCACACTAACTATTTTTGTCTAGAATTTAGTATTTCCTTAATGGGTGTGCCCAAGTCAAATTGGTCACTTATTATGGACCGGAGGGAGTACCTTGTAGCATTAATATTGGTAATTAAGGGGGCATGATTTGTAATCATGCACCCGTAGCTCTAGTATAAATAGAGACTTTCATTTTATTGTAAGAGATCATGAAATACTTGTATGAGAAAAGGCTAATACTACTCTCTTATTCTGCAAAACTTTATTTTACCAATACTTAGTTTTCGGCAGTGTTCTTGTTCTTGGAGAAATTCAATTCAAGGCCCAGACTTGTCTTTTCTTCAATTATTTTTATTGTACTCACTTTTGTTCTTTGTTATTTTATTTTCTCGGATCAATTTAATCCACGTGTCTATAAAACCACGTTACAATTTCAACTGTACCGTTTTACGGTAAACAACATGATATTTGCATTGTCCCCCTTTAGAGTAAATGGCATTTGTCTCAAAATCTAACACTAACCTTTTCCCAGGGAAATAAGGAGATTAGTTAAGGATAAATCAAAGAGAAAAAAAAAGTAAATAGAAAAAAGACACAATACAATAGGGTGCAAGTGTAAATTTCAATTCCAAAAACGCAGCGTTAAGGTTCTCCTTTTACTAACTGGAGTACTACTAATATAAGCGTTGCCTTGCCAAATCGACAACAATTCAAAGCTTGTAACCGACTCTGGCTCTGAGGTAAAATAACCGCGCTTCTAACTTGGGTATGATATTATTTCTAAGGTATATATCTCTGTTTCTGTTGATCAAATTATTACAAGTAATAAATTAGATCCTTCATTTCAAACAAAAAAGGAAAGTTTAGAAATTTGAAGTGGAAGAAGGGATGGTTAGCTTTAGGCCACAATATGGCTTCAACTTTTTATAATTGCACATGTCGCTAATAGCTTGAACCCGCAAACGCCCCGCATAAGGTATAACCCGCACGCCCTAATTTGAGTGCCAAGAGGAAATACACTCCTTCAATTTCCTTATTTCAAGGAGCCCTAACTATAATTTATTGGCTTAGAAGAATTTAATGGCTCTCGGATTAGATTCCTAGTACCTTAGCTGTTACCCCCTTGAATACTGATTGTAACTGTCAAATGTTCTCGCCGATATCGGATACAGTTCAAGGTCAAAACAATCTACTCCACAGCTTGCATGGAGTTCTTAAAAATCCTTGAGGGAAATTCAACAGGGCTTCGGGTCGAGCCAGTTTCTTTTTGGTTCTTCGTTTTTGTGTATTTGGTCCTACAATGATGTTGTCCAAGTTCCTAAATATGATGACGTTACATATTCATAAATTCAAATGCATACTTCGGCAATTTTTTAGGAAGTCTGTTTATTTTAATTTGTTCATCCCAGTTTCTGTTGAAACTAAAAGAAAGGTTTCAAGCTTCTGGTGTTTCACAAGTTACTTTATGATTAAGTTGGAGAAGATCTATGGTTGTTTAAACTGTGGGCAAGTTGGCTTCATATGCTGTTAAATTCTTTATGGGTTATTGTTGAAATTTCCATGTGGCAATGTGAACAGTAGGCATTTTATTCAAGACGGTAGTTTGATCTTTGAAATAGGCAGGAGCTTGTTTCTGTAGAAAAATTAGTGCACAAGGAGGAAGGTGAAATTGGGGACACACATGGATTATATGTTGCAAAGTAAAAAAAAATTAAATACATTTTGAGGAAAGTTAATAGAGAAAAGCCTAATTTAAGTCATTCTCACGCGCATCTGTTTATGGGACACACCCGCGCCAAACAGAAGTGTCTATTTGATCATTAGCTAAGTTACCTACAAAACAAAAGTGTCTATTTGATCATTATCTAAGTTTGTATGTCTAGCTGACAAATTGTGCCACCTTTGAGGGGCTATCTGGTAATTTAGCCAAAAAAAAAAGATTGCTGGTAGAATGTATTATTTTCAGACTAGATTTTGTTTTGTTTTGAACAAATCTAGTAATTTAGCCAAATAAGTTAGCCTTTTTGGTATAAGGTATTAAATGCTATATTAGATGTTCTCATATATGCTATGGTGTCCATGGACTTTTATGGTTTGTAACTTGCATAATGGGTGAGATTCATTTTCAATATCTATTTCTTGTCATGTATTTTGTGAACTTATGAGTGAAATTTTGCTTGTTATCAGTACTTGGGAAGAGTTCTCTGATGGCAAATGAAGAAGTCATCGCTGTTAAAGATGCTATCCACAAGCTGCAACTCTATCTTCTTGAAGGCATTAAAGATGAAAACCAACTCTTTGCTGCTGGGTCTTTGCTGTCTCGGACAGATTATCAGGATGTAGTAACTGAACGATCAATAGCAAACATGTGTGGTTATCCTCTTTGCAGCAACTCTCTGCCTTCTGAAAGGCCTAGGAAGGGACACTACCGGATATCATTGAAGGAGCATAAAGTTTATGATCTTCATGAAACATACATGTACTGTTCAACAAACTGTGCTGTCAACAGTGGAGCATTTGCCCGTAGCTTGCAAGACGAGAGAAGCTCTACTTTAAATACAGCAAAACTTAATGAAGTCCTGAAGCTATTTGTGGGATTGCATTTGCATTCCACAGAGGATGTGAAGGAAAATGGAGATCTAGGATTATCCAAGTTGAAGATTCAGGAAAAGGTGGATGTAAAGGGTGGTGAAGTTTCAATGGAAGAGTGGATGGGTCCATCTGACGCGATTGAAGGCTATGTTCCCCAGAGAGAACGAAATGTGAAGCCAGCACTCTTGAACAACATTAAGAAAGGTACGAGAACTTCAATGATCTAAATGTGCATATGTAGTTAACAGAGAAAAGTACCTACACACTTATGCTTGCTGGACTCACTACATTTGAAATCTAGAAAAAACTTTAATGATCTAAATGTGCATATGTAGTTAGCAGAGAAAAGAACCTACACGCTTATGTTTGCTGGAGTCACTTCAATTGAAATATTAGAGTAAGAGACTTCATATTCTAGCTAATCAATGTACGCCTTTGTTGATCAAGACAAATACTTTTAATTTGTCAGGTTCCAAGAATAAGCAGGCCAAACTCCAAAATGAGAAAAACATGATACTACATGAGATGGACTTTTCCAGCACTATAATAACTCAAGATGGTTATAGCATTTCAAAGTTACCAGCACCTGTAAATGCTGTCTCAAGTAAAAAGGTTAAAGAAGCACAAACAAGAACAAGCTATGAAGTTAGGGATGTTGATGTTTCTATATTGGGGAAGCAAGTTGATGCCTTGCAGTTGCATTCCGGAGAAGAAACAGAAAAAACAGATTCGAATAATAGAAGTTATAAGGTCGATAAATTTAACACTGGAGAAGTGTCTTCTGGTCCTTGCCAACATGATGTCAAGAACAAAAGTCTTGAGGTACTAAATATGTCTGATGCCGGAAGAGAATATGCATCAGATGATGCACGTGAAAAACAATCGCTCAGATCTTCTCTAAAATCCTCAAAGTACAAGAAAATGGCTCGTTCAGTTACTTGGGCTGATGAAAATGTTGATAATGGCACTGGAAAATTAACGGAGAGTTCATCCGAAATATCAGAAGAAGGGGATCAAGCTAATAGGGAATCAGGCCCTACAAACATGGAAGAGGATGATGATTCATATCGATTTGAATCTGCAGAAGCATGTGCAGCAGCACTAAAACAAGCAGCAGAGGCTGTTGCCTCAGGTTCTGATGTCCCTGATGCTGGTATGACAATTTCATTGACTCTCCATATTAGGAATATTAATGGAGATTTTATGAGTAAGACATACACTCTTTGGATCTAATAGCTTTTGAGTTCTGCTGTGCATGTGATTTTTAGTGTCCACTGCCGGGATTATAATATTGCCACCTCCACAAAAAGTGGATGAAGCAATACTTAAGGAGAACGATGAGGTGCTTGATATAGAACCAGCTCCTTTAAAATGGCCAAGAAAACCAGGGGTGCCAAATTATGATGTTTTTGAATCAGAGGACTCTTGGTATGATAGTCCACCAGAGGGGTTTAATTTGAATGTAAGTTGCTTATCAAACCTTCTACACTTGTGAAAGTTGCTACTGATGTTTATTGTTTTTGTTCTCTCTTCATTCTGCTCCCCCACCCCCCACCCCACCCAAGAAACCCCCTTTTCCCTTTTTAACCTTTTTTGGTTTCTGTGTGTTTTCTAATTTTCTTCAGCTGTCACCTTTCGCTACGATGTTTAATTCCCTCTTCACATGGATATCATCATCGTCCTTGTCATTCATATATGGCAATGATGAAAGCTTTAATGAGGAGTATTTGTCTATCAATGGAAGTCAATATCCTCGCAAAATTGTGTTATCTGATGGCCGGTCAACTGAGATCAAGCAGACTCTTGCTAGGTGTCTTGCTCGAGCATTGCCGGGATTGGTTGCTGACCTTAGGCTGCCTGTACCAATATCAGTTTTAGAACAAGGACTGGTATGTTTACACTATCAGATAGTAACCTTCCCCTTGCCAAGCCATTTTAGCAGAATTGTGGAAGTAGTCAAGTCAATGATTTCTGCATGCTGTGAGGAGAGTTTAAGTGTTTTATTTTGTGCAGTTAGGACCCAATTTAGTTTTTTGATCTGGTTTGGTATTAGGAAGCAATTTTAATCTCATGGTTTTGTTTGTTAGGACTTCATTTGTTAGTAGGGGATACTTTACATATGCTTTATGTATGTTGACTATTAGTAGTGTGCATTGCATGAAGTTGTAGAATGCAGGAAGCTTTTAAAGGATTGTCTAGGGTACCTGAAAGTTCAAATTTTATGGCTTATTTTTTCACTCACCCACAGACACATGGACATTCTGTGACGGGGTTGGGGAGGGAGTCAGTACAAGAACCACCCAGTCATTATGATGGAAAGATTTTCAGGAGCAGTATGTAATTGGCCGGTGGTGATAATGGGACAGAATTTTGTTTCTACAAACAAATTAATGGGATAAGTTGGCTATGACTCTTGAAGTTGCTGAATGTGAGCTTGTGAGATTTAGTATTTTCATTTGCGTCATCATACTTTTAATGATGTTTGATGTTTATTTTCAAAGCTGTAGGAGGTTCTATGCGTGTAGGGGGTTATCTACTCACATATCCCCGTCGGCTGTGATGCGTAGTTGGGTAGATGATGGGTATTGGTGGTTTAAGAATATCATTGTGTGTCACAATTAATGTTGTAATCATCACATGTCTTCTTCGTTTGACATGTGCAGGTTCTCTTGATAGATACAATGTCTTTTGTGGATCCACTCCCTGCATTCAGGATGAAGCAGTGGCAACTAATTGTTCTTCTGTTTCTGGATGCTCTTTCCATATGTAGGATACCTGTACTGACTCCATATATGACAGGGAGAAGGACTTTGCTTCCAAAGGTAGAATTCTGGGATTATACGCTTCTACGTTCTCATGTTCTGTTTCATATGTAGTATATTGTTTTGATTGTAATGTTAGTTTGAACATCTTCCAAAGCTGTACTTTGGTTGCTGTCATGCAATTTTGTTCTCCTTTTTGCACTCTTAACTTTTCTTCTCTGGTATCCCCCTTCCCAAGGTCTAGTTGTTTCTTCCTAATCTTCACTAGGTTTGCCACCTTCCAGATTACATAAAAGGACATAAATGCCTATGTGGTAATGGTAGAAGCTATCACTAAGTTGAACTTGAATATTTCAGAAAATGATCCTGGGTGCTGCTTCTGTACTTAGTAGTAGAATATTCACTTACATTGTTAGGAGTAAATAATGACAGCTTATCGTGTTGTACGAAAACTAAAATCATAGGAAAGGATTTCAGAGTTTCCGGCATGAGATGTTAGTAGTTTTTTGACTATGTATTGTGAGTATGGGTTGGACTGAAGTTCTTTTGTTCCCTTTGGCCGGCTAAACAGGTGCTTGATGGTGCTCAGATAAGCGCAGCAGAATATGAGATCATGAAAGATCTAATCATTCCACTAGGTCGAGTGCCTCAGTTCTCAATGCAAAGTGGAGGCTAATTTGATATAATACGGCTTTGCAGACTTCCTTCTCTAAACTTTCATGAGAGAAAGTAGTTCTGGAAAGTGTGCCCAAAAGTCATAATTATATTTGGTGTTGCAACTTCTGTTCATATCTGTTTATGTTTTATAGAGATGGTTCATTATTGACGAGATTCTCTTCGATATCATTCTTCTGCGGGCTAATAACATTTTTGGTTTGAGGTGTAAAGAGGGGTTGATTGAGTGGAAAACTGGATATACATTGAGAGGGAAGCATCTTTTTCCTCATGTGGTAAGAAGTAAAAGAGGATTGAAGGAAAAGTAGTGACCCCACAGTTTTTTCGAAACCATCTAGAAGCCGGCGGAAGGAGGAAGTGTCTCAGTTTTACTTCCTTTCTAACAGTATTGAATGATTGGAAGTAAATCTTCTATACTTGGTCTAAGTGAAGTAAGTGAACAATTTTCTATTTCCTTTACCTTTTCCTTCTCCTGCCTGAAACCAACATGCTTACTAGCTGTGGTAAATGTACATGGGAAGGTGCCTTTTGTTCTGGTTTTGCCGCTGCCATATATTAGTCAGAGTAGTTTCTTTAAGGGGTCGTTTGGTTGGAATATGATTTATATAGGTATAAGTTATATTGGGATAAGTTATGCTGGGATTGTTGTTTATTCATTGTTTTGGTATGTTGTATTAAGAATGACAATTGCATAATTTCTAAGAAGAAGGTATAAGTTATACCGGTGCTAATTACCCCACCTTCTATAAGGTATAAGTTATCCCAGTGTTAAAATTAACACCGGATAACTTATACCTGGTTTGCTAACCAAACAGAGTATTAAGGTGGTATTAAATTTGTATGCCACCCTTATACCTTCTTATACCTCATACCAAACGACCCCTAAATGGTTTTAATTCTAAACCTTCTGTAGGTTCTCGAGTAAGATTGCTACTTGGTCAGAATACCTAAAGGGTACAATCCTAATGCCTTAAAGCTGGAGTTCAGAATATTTGTTTCACTGATGTTTTCAGTTCTTGAGAAGGTCAGGAATGGGTGAGTGGGAAGGCGAAGGAATCGGTCGAAAACTAGAAATTGCTTCACTCGATGTTTACTGTGAATTAGACAATTTAACTTTCATAGTTATAAATTAAAGTATGAATACATATAATTTAGTTATGGTTAAATAATAAATGTATATTTGAAAAGATACATAATTTGCTGTTTTTCTTTATGTAACCAACTTTACCCTTGTACCGTTTTATTAGGCTGTGAAGCACAATGGAATAGGACTAAATTGCCTGATGGCATGACCAAGTGGACCAGTTGACATATGTCACATACCTAAAATTGGTAATCAATTAACAATGTATGACTGTGTAATCATTTCTTGAACGTGGATAATTCAGACAAGCCAGCAAAGTATTGCTGTTTTGATTAGAGCAGAAATATATTAATGCAATCATGAATTTGTTTAGTCAATTAGCTGCTTTTAATACATGGAGATTGGAGACCAATTTGATATTATCGGTCCACCTTACAATCTGTCACTCTCTTACTGTTGCACAGTATAATAATGGATTGTCCTTTTATCATTAGTCAACTATTGTTGGGTAAAAAAAAGGAACGAATTACCCAGTAATTGTAGGTTTCTGTCTTTTAACGTTTAATGATTCAATAAAATTGTATCAAGGTATTTATCACAGAAATTATCTTAGGAATATTCTCATCTGGCTTATCGTAGGCAAATTCTATGCAGTGCCTTCCCTCTGACGCTATCATTCTGGGATGATTATATTACAACCCCTGCAAAAATAAATGAATTACTAATTGTCATCCTTGTACTACGTCATTGGTTTAAGATGCGAGTAGAATAGTAAATATGTTTATTTTTACTGGAAGTGTGGCTACTAGTTTAATAGGTGATGTCATTTCCATCTTATTCCCATTATAATAACTGATGATTATATTACAACCCCTGCTTACCGAATGCTGGTTTAGTTATTAGCTAAACTAATTTAAAATACCCATTTTTTCTATGTAAGTTTTTAATCCAATATATTTATTAAGGCAATTTGATGTAATGCCATTAATTGAAAACAACAACAACAAACCCAGTTTGATCCCAACATGTGGGGTTTGGGGAGAGTAGTCTGTACGCAGATCTTACCCCTACCTAATGCAGGTAGAGAGGCTGTTTCCAATAGACCCTCGGCTCGGGAAGGGCAAGAAGAGGAAGAGGCAAGCAAGGAAGGAAGAAAGATGGAAGAGAAAAAGTGAGAGATAAAAGATAAGTAGTATCAAGTAATAGCAACGGGAATACAATACCTGAGGCGAACAAAATCACATATCGTAATAAAAATCTAAGAATATGAAGGGACATGCACGCTACTAGGCCTATTGGTAAACACTATAAACTACCTACTAACCTTCTACCTTAATCCTCGACCTCCACACCCTCCTATCAAGGATCATGTCCTCAATGAGCTGAAGCGGCGCCATGTCCTGCCTTATCATTTCTCCCCAGTACTTCTTAGGCCTACCTCGACCCTTTCTTAAACTCTCCATGGCCAACCTCTCACGCCTCCTGACAGGGGCATCAATGCTTCTTCTCCTAACATGTCCGAACCATCTCAGTCGCGACTCCCGCATCTTGTCCCTCCGACGGAGGCTACCTCCCACTCTCGTCCCGGATAGCTTCATTACTTAACTCCTATCTCCGCCGTGGTACCACCCACACACTCCATCTACAACANTAAATAGTTGTGGAAGGGGGGCGAAGATACTTTATTATATACGAGGAACTCACGAAAATCTCTGAGTGCTCAAGCATCCAATCAATTGAAATGAGGGTCACTAAAAAAGATAGGACCTATTATTCCTACATGTTCCATTAGTAACATTCCCTTATTAACCTTTTTTGGTTCTGTGTGTTTTCAATTTTCTTCAGCTGTCACCTTTCGCTACGATGTTTAATTCCCTCTTCACATGGATATCATCATCGTCCTTGTCATTCATATATGGCAATGATGAAAGCTTTAATGAGGAGTATTTGTCTATCAATGGAAGTCAATATCCTCGCAAAATTGTGTTATCTGATGGCCGGTCAACTGAGATCAAGCAGACTCTTGCTAGGTGTCTTGCTCGAGCATTGCCGGGATTGGTTGCTGACCTTAGGCTGCCTGTACCAATATCAGTTTTAGAACAAGGACTGGTATGTTTACACTATCAGATAGTAACCTTCCCCTTGCCAAGCCATTTTAGCAGAATTGTGGAAGTAGTCAAGTCAATGATTTCTGCATGCTGTGAGGAGAGTTTAAGTGTTTTATTTTGTGCAGTTAGGACCCAATTTAGTTTTTTGATCTGGTTTGGTATTAGGAAGCAATTTTAATCTCATGGTTTTGTTTGTTAGGACTTCATTTGTTAGTAGGGGATACTTTACATATGCTTTATGTATGTTGACTATTAGTAGTGTGCATTGCATGAAGTTGTAGAATGCAGGAAGCTTTTAAAGGATTGTCTAGGGTACCTGAAAGTTCAAATTTTATGGCTTATTTTTTCACTCACCCACAGACACATGGACATTCTGTGACGGGGTTGGGGAGGGAGTCAGTACAAGAACCACCCAGTCATTATGATGGAAGATTTTCAGGAGCAGTATGTAATTGGCCGGTGGTGATAATGGGACAGAATTTTGTTTCTACAAANCAGGGGCATCAATGCTTCTTCTCCTAACATGTCCGAACCATCTCAGTCGCGACTCCCGCATCTTGTCCTCCACGGAGGCTACTCCCACTCTGTCCCGGATAGCTTCATTCTTAATCCTATCTCGCCTGGTACACCCACACATCCATCTCAACATCCTCATCTCTGCTACTCTCATCTTCTGCACGTGAGAGTTCTTGACCGGCCAACACTCAGCCCCATACAGCATAGCGGGTCGAACCACCATTAATTGAACAATTGAAGAAATACTTACTTTCAATGTCACCGAATATAGTATATAATTTAGCCACTCGGACCATCTCTTTTCTCTTTATGGAGTCTCTCGTAATAATCACATTACAAATACAATGATATACTATTTGATTAATAATTAACAGGATATGACAAATGGAATTCTCTCTTTTGACTTATGTCATGATCCAAAATTTACTATAGGTTGTGATGACGCCTAACGCTGCCGTCAGGCGAGTCAACTATGTTTGACCCACTTAATTACTCATTTTTATTCTTTTGAAATCATAATTTTCATTAATTAAATAGTATGAATAGAATTTGCATGACAAATGATAATATTTTTCACAAACTACAACGATGAACAACTTGTAAGCACCGCCAAAACCCGGTGTCACAAGTGAATGAGTGTCAAGTAGGAAATATGATAACATACAACACCTGTCTAGAATACAAATTAGATTAGAAAAATATAAATAACTCTGATGGAGACTCTGTGTGCTGGGGACTCGTAACATGGGATGCAGCTCACCTAAGTCCCCGCAATAGCTGCGCCTCTGCGCCCACAAGACCACTAGACATATATATACCTGCACAAAATGTGCAGCAAGTGTAGCATGAGTACGTAAATCAACGTGTACCTAGTAAGTATCTAGTCTAACCTCAAAAAAGTAGTGACAAGGGGTCGGCTTCGACACTTACTATGGGCTAACAATAAAGTACCAATATTATAATTAAGCATGGATTATATAAATATAGTTGAAAACTCAATAACAAGAAATAAATAAACAATTCTTTCCCTAATAAGTAAATCCAAAATTTATTTCCATTATTTAACAAATTTTATCTCTTAAGCCAATGAAACAATATCAATTATAATTGGACTCCAAGAATTATTACGCACGAATTATGCCGAGGTCGTACGGTCCGATCCAACATACAATATATAAACTGTGCACTATCGAGGGTCGAACGGCACGAACCATATATGTATCTATCTGCTACCGAGGCGTTCGGCCAGCTCCACAAGAAGAGATAAATACATTAAAACAACCGACTCAAGATTTATTAAGAGGATAATATCAAAAGAAATACCAATTCTCATTAACAGTCAAGTGACCTATCCAAAATTCAAGTAAATGAAGTTTAACCTTTTACAATTCCTTTATCAAGTTCCAATATGAGTTAAGCAATTAAATTAACTAGTAGGGTGCAAACATCGGAAGTATAACATGATTTGGGTCCTGGACTACCTGGACTACCTGGACATAAGCATAATTTGTAGCTACGTACGGACTCTCGTCACCTCGTGCGTACATAGCCCCACAATAGAAGCACATATTAAATCAATTCACCTATTGGGTTAATTCCCTCTTACAATGTTAGAAAAGAGACTTATCTCGTTTTAAAACCACTTTCCGGTCACAATTTCGCTCTAAGGATCCAAATTGGTGCCGTTCAACCCGAAACTAGTTAAACAACGTGCAAATTAATCAAAAATATACTCCAATGCTTGAA